AGTTATTAGCTACCTGAAATAGATGAAGGCGACGGGGCAGTTCCAGCACTGACTGCTCACACCAGCCGGGCTTCGGCGGAAGGGAGGGGTTGTCCCCCGGGGCTTCCACCGTCATCATCTCCCAGCATTCCAAACTAATTTGAAGGTGGAGACCTTGAGTTTTTAACCTCGGCGACCGTCTTTCATTCCGGGCGATCGCATGGAGCTGACGCAAGCATCCAGCTCTCATATAGTCCTCCTGTTGTTGCGGGGACCAGTGGTCTCCTTGATGGACTGCCTGATTGCGTATAATCCATAAGTATGCCATGCCGATACTGCAGAATGTCCACCAGATTCGGAGTGGTTGACTTGCATATTCCGCCTGCCAATTCCCATATCTGTCTGTCAACCTTTGTTGGAACTGTGATGACAACGGAGGCGCAATCCGGGCTGAAAAGTAGTCCTTGTACCCCTCCAACTGTTCCACCGTGATTTCCGTTCCTAGCCATACTTGTAGGACCCACTTCCACCAGCTTTGCGCCCGACGGCACTTCCAAAGGATGTGACTCACTGTGTTTCGGTACTTCTTGCACTTCTCGTCTATGGGACATGTGTACGCTTTCGGACTGCCTTCGTAGTACAGGTTCAGTTGGGTGGTCGCCGCTCTGTATACCACTCACACTTGGTAGGCTGTTAAAGTGTCTTTATGGCTCCAGAGGTCCTCCGGAGTTTGACTCTGCAGTCCACTAATCCACGAATCCCGCAATCGTTCCTGCGCCCATTTGTGAAGAACTGCTCGGGGTGTCTTCTGAGTGCGTCCCCGGCACCACCGTTTGACTGTCTTCTTTAAGTGAGCCCATAGGTGTCGGTTCCCTTGTCGTTCATTGGCCCTCCAAGGAAAACTATGTAGGAGTGGGTGCGCTTCAAATACCATTCCTCGGAGGTCTTCCCCACCTGACTCCAGTGCCTGCGCCTCTGGGTATATAACCTTTCCATCCCAGTATAAGCCGTCCGGTCGTTGAGTTGCTAAGATCTGTTCACTTCCATTATCGAGTGTCCCGATTACTGGGTATATAACCTTTCCATCCCAGTATAAGCCGTCCGGTCGCTGAGTTGCTAAGATCTGTTCACCTCCATTATCGAGTGTCCCTCTTACTGTCCTGTCAGCTTGCACTGTCCAGGAAACCTCCCGTACGTCCTCAGGTGCATGTCGTAGCTTGAGCGGTGGTAATTCTCCCAGTTTCTCTCCTATCCCGATGCGTGGCGAACTGAGGAGTACTGCAAGTATGAGACGTGTCAATTTTGCCACAGTGTGCCCCTTACCCACCACCAGCGGTAACCGCATCTCGTAAGTGGTGATTCCCTTCCGCACAATGCCCAGCCCCTTAATCGATGTCACTTGTAGCTTGTCATACTTGGCCCTTGAGAGGAATGGAGCCGCGAGTTCCGGTATCCATGGGTTCTCCGCCCATGCGAAAGTTCCCCAAAAGGCCTCATATTCAGGACTTAACAACTTGTGATGGGGAATTGAGGTGAAATCCGCCTCAACTTGGATAGTGTCCCCTGCAGCCGGCTGAAGCATAGGTTGTGGAGTGTGCGCCGCTGCTGTATCGATCAGTCCTGGCAAATACATCCTCACGTAATCAATCAGAGCGACCTCTTCCGTGACCGCGGGTGCGAGAAGTTCCCCGACTTCTCGTCGTGAATTCCTCTCCAGTGCTGCTGATGGACCCACTCGTCTCTTCCGTAAACTCCTCCTGGGTGTTACCGCCGGTTCTTCTACCGTCCCCACTAACAGCCCACTTAGATACCTCCACGCCTGCTGATACCTATCCCTGGCACTTATGAGCCAAATCATGATAGAGTTCACCCGCTGAGTCTGTATAGCGACCGGTATGTCAATTAGGCCAAGGCCTCCAGCCCTCCGTGGCGTGAAGATGAGCTGTGGGGTCATCTTATGTCTACTCGGGTCGTCCTTCATTTGTCGTCTCCAGACGAATTGCTTCTGCATGTTGATGAGCTGTGTGAGAACTTCCTGAGGAGGGGGGAACCACTTAGCTGTGAACAGGAGGGCAGGCATCACAATCGTGTTGAACAGGTCCACCCTGTCGACTACCGTCGTTGCTGCTGCTTCCGCCGTCACCATTCGCCGTTGAACCGCTCTGATCCTATGAGCCCAGTTGGCTTGTGCTAGTTTGCCAAACCCAATCTCGTACCCCAGATACTTTGTGGTGTGCCCTTCCTTGAGCACTGGGATCGTAAGAAATTCCGAGTCTTCTACTGCTCGATTTAACGGGATAAAACAGCTTTTAGCAGGTTGCACTTTGAGGCCAGAAATTTTCCCAAAGTCCTGAATGAGACCTAAGGCTGCTTCCAGTTGCCGTCCCTCTTGCAGGAAGAGGGTTGAATCATCCACGAACCCGGAGAATTTGTGTTGCTCAGTGTTATCTGCCCCTGGAACTTGAAGCCCTTCTATCTCCGATGATTGAGCGATCGCCAGTGCTAGGACCTCCACAGCTAGAATAAATAGCAAAGGCGCCAATGGACATCCCTGCCTTATGCCTGATCGCACTTCCAGTGGCGGCGACAGCTCTCCGTTCACTAAGAACTGTGCCGTTGTTCCGTCATGCATCCTGTCCATGAGGTCTACAAAGTCTGCCGAGAAACCGAACCTCCGAAGAACTTCCAGTAGAAAAACTCGATCAACCGTGTCATAAGCTTTGGCAAAGTCTAACAGTACGATCCCTGGACTGCTGGCAATGCCATGATTTGGATCGTGAAAGTCTTGCTGTAGCATAGCCAACATCATTGCCACTGAACGGTGCATTTGTCGTCCGTGCACGAATCCCTGTTGGGTGTCCCCAATTATTCTCCCCAGAAAGGTTTGTAACCTTGAGGCGAGAATCTTTGCAAAGATCTTGTAGCTCGATTGAAGTAAGGAGATAGGCCTGTAGTCCAGAGCATTGGGGGAGTCTCCTTTCTTCCGGAGCGGCACGACGACAGCTTTTAGGAAGGATTTGGGAGGTGGCTGGCCGTCAAGCAACGTATTGCAAATGTGTGCTAGTTGTGCAGAGATACCCTCCGCACAGTCCAGATAGAAGTCGTTGTTGAGCCCATCCTCTCCCCCAGCTTTGTTTCGCTGAAGCCCTTTGATCGCGTCCAAGACTTCCTCTTCCGAGATAGGACCCATAAGGAGGGAGTTTTCTGAGGTTTGGACCCGTCGGTTCTTTGGTATTTGCACAAATTTGCCGAGATGAATCGCCATATCTGCTGGTGAGAGTTCACTGTGCCTGGCCCCCATGAGTGGAGTCCACACTTTCACGAATCTCTCCGGTATCGTGTCGGAGTCCAGAAATTGCCCCTCAAACTGCGCCTCAATCCTGGAGACCCGTTGGTCTCGCTCCCACACCGCCGTTCGTTTGTACAACCACCTGATATCCACTGGCGTTCGTAGAAATGTTTGGCCAAACCGTCTCGAGTTCTCGGATTGAAGGTCTTGGATAAAGGCCGTCAGGAGCTGTTGCCGGGTAGTAGCGTTCTCTTGCAGTTGTCTGGTCAGTCTTTGAGAATAAAGGCCGTCAGGAGCTGTTGCCGGGTAGTAGCGTTCTCTTGCAGTTGTCTGGTCAGTCTTTGAGAAATCCCTTGACGTCTCTGTTTATCCCTTCTGGAGATTTTCACTATAACAGACTTGCAATGCTCAACCCATTCATCCCAATCAGGTTCCGCACTGCCAGCCTGCCCGTATAATTCCTGCAGCACTTCTTGTACCAAACGCTCGGGGTTCCCCCCTACGATAGGGTATTGTACCTTTAACTGGTGTGGCCGTGTAGGTTTCGCGCTAGGCTCTCGTAGGTGCAGTTGAACCTCCTCGTGATCTGATGGCATCCGAGGCAGGTGGACACTTACCCATTGGACCCATGAGGCGCAGCTGGAAGCGACGTAGAAGCGGTCAATCCTACTCGCATAGTTCCCTTGCCAGTATGTGAAGTGTTCCATTGGACTTAGTTCCAACTCTGAGAGGGCTGATCCCATGAGGGCCCTAGCGTCCAGGATATCCCATGTTCTCGTGTTCCTGGTGAGTACTTCACTTTCCGTCTTCAATTGTCGTAGTCCACCGAGCCTGTCCAGTACTGGTACTTCAACACAGTTGAAGTCTCCTGCAAGTACAAGATTCTCTGTTGAGGTGAGGTCCCAGTCCTGAAGCTGGGTGAAGAAAACTTCTCGTCTCGGTTTATTAGATGCGGGCGCGTAGACATTGAGAACTCGCAACTGTCCTAATGTGACCCCAATGCGCCTTGCCGTCCAAAGGTGATCCTTCCAGGGGGAGACACTATGATGATACTCCGGGAATATTAAGATCCCCACTCCGCCTGCCTCCGGTGAGTCCACGGACCAGTACGACAAGGTCTCGGCCTTCCCCTGGAAGCCCCACATTCGTTTCCAGAGTTGCTGTAAACACTGTCGTTCTTCCTTGAGCTTTACATGGGTTTCTTGGACAAGAATCAATGCTGGACGGTCCTTCCGCGGTATAGAACGCCACGCCTGTAGCCACTGACTCCGCGATTTGATTTTAAACCCGCGAACATTCTGTGTGGTAATGCGTAAATCCGAGACTCTCAGTACCGGTTTCACATCTTCTTCCTCCTCAGGATGAGAAGTAGCCTCATGTAGATAGTTACTCATTCCGTAGACATCAAAACCAGTAGGCACCTCCTGAGCAATGCTATTGGTCGGGCCCATGAAGGCGCCCTTAGTAGAGGGGACCAGCAGCAGTCTCCAAGTTACCACCGATCGTGCCATGCTCTCCCTCCCCCTTACCATCTTCTACCACCGAATTCATGTAGCTCACGACTGCTGTCCATTGGAGCGTTCCACCATCCACATCATTGACCCCATCCATGATGAAAGTGCTTTTGTACTAAGTGCTTTTGTACTTAGGGATTCGCCGTAACGCCTCTTGGTGTCTTAACAATAGTGTGATGATCGAGTCCGTGGGTTGCGCGGATACGCCAAGCATGGCCGCTATCTTTTCAGCGTACAGGAAAGCGCACAGGAGGTGGTTTCCCAACAAACACGCCCGTTTAGGTGAACAGAGCCTCATTATGGCGTCGTGCCCGTACTGTTCCCGCCGTTGTGCCATCCACTCCTGGGTGCTGTTGATAATAGCCACTTTCTTGGCTTCCTCTGGGACACTGTCCACCCTTTGTTCCCATGCCTGAAGCCGGTCTCTCCGAGCTGGGTTGTCGGGGTCTGTTTTCCCGGTTTCAATCGCTCCCCTCCAACATTGGGTTCTCCAGTGAGCCGTCAATGCAATGATGCTCTTGGGTTCCATTCCCAGGATAATCAGTTGCGGGTGGCTGAAGCTACGGAGTAAGTGAACTATCCGGTTAGGTTCCTTTGCCACTGCTGTCTCCCACACTGACCGAGAGGCCGCCACAGCCGGGAAGGGAATCCCAGTCCGTTGCACCCATCCAGATTCCAGGCTATCCCAGACTTCGTCCCATCTGGGTGACATATAGTCTGCTACTGGCGGTGCATCGACAGCCACTTCATCGAATCGTGTGAGGAGGTCCCTGGAAGGGTCTCCACAACTACTTGAGCTTCTATTGAGGTCCTGTTCTTGCAAAAGATTCCTTGTCCCGACTCGGAAAGCTTTAGCAGGCCCCCTTGGCGTTACGGGATTACGAGGGGATCGCTTCGGAGAAGTGAGCATTCCCTGGTGTCCCGAATGAACCGAGCTGCAGGAAGACGGAAGATACTCCAATCCCGAGGAAAGGGTTTCCCCAGACGAAGCGATCCCTTCCTCAGACTGCTGCTGTTTGTCCGCCCTTAAGGCTGCCTGCCATTGGCGCACGACCGGCTCCGGGATTTGGTACTTCGTCATGAAGTATGCCCGGTGTTGGGCGTCCTCAAGCTCGGCCTGTAAGAGGGCCTGTTGTTCTGGCACCGATAACCGCGATACCGTTTCAATCAGGAAGTGTAATAACTCTTCTGTCCTGCCGTCTCTCACTTGCAGAATGTGTGTGATTTCCCGTTTGAGCTCGTGGTGGATCGTTGGTCCGTCTAGTCTATCCAGTAAGTCCCCCAGGTCCCCATTCCACTGCTCGGGATCCCATGGAGAGTTGGAGCCATACTCTACTGTCGAGTCTCCATGTTGAGTATCCGGATATTGCTGCTGTCGTTCCGCTTCCTCCTCCGTTTCAGCCGGGGTTGTTGTCGTATCCGGAGATTCTACCATGTCCACATCGGCAGCTCCAGGCTCCACATCCCCCTGCGAGTCCTTAAGGCCCGAATTCTCGTGAAGTTTCGGCTTCTCGTCACTGTAATCATCATCATCATCGCCGCTATCCATATCTACATCACTTACTTCCGTCTCTCGCATCTTCGACGGACACGCCATACGTCTTCCATGGATGCAGGCCGAGTAGTGAGCGTCCTTAAATAGGAGAACGATGGGTAACTTCGAGGTATCACCTGCTGCTTTGCACTTCAATTGAGTCACTCTGGATACACACCCTGCTAGGCTCAGCACGTATTCTCCACAGGTGGCGTAGTTTTTCTTTCCTGCTTTGTGTGTTTCAGGTTCGTAGTGTTGGACATGGACATGCCGTGTAACCGGGTCAGGACTAATGACGAAAATATTCCTCTGTAGTAACGTTCCGTGCGTCGCGAGCGTATCATTCCCTCCCCAATACGCGGCTGGTAGGAAGGTGGAGACCTCTGAGGGACTTGTACAGTACTCCCTAAGGTACCTCCGGAACTCGGATTCTGATACTTTTGCCGACATCTTGTCATATCCTCTCCCCAGGTGTACCAGAG